AAAAAAAAAAAAAAAAAGAAAGAAGAAGAACTAAGTGGAAGGAGTGCTGTGCCTCACAGGCAACATCTGCTTTCCACAACCTTAATCATAGTTGACTTAGCCGGGAATGGTGGCGCACGCCTGCAATCTCAGCACTCGGGAGGCTGAGGCAGGAGGATCACTGTGAGTTCAAGGCCTGCTTGGGCTACATAGCAACACTATTAAAAAAAAAAAAGTCACTTAAGATGTTTAACAAAAAAATAGGCATTCTTATAAGAAGAATACAGTGGTACCTTGGTTCACAAATTTAATTCTTTCTACAATTCTGGTCACAAACTGAATTCGACAAGAACCAAATCAAATTTCCTCATAAGGTGAACATGGAACCTAACAAATGACTTTGATTAGGTTTATTCTAATTATACACACACACACACACACACACACAGAGACATATACATAATACTAGTTAGGCAAGTTTAGATCTAGGTATGTTTTCAAATTACCATTTAAGAGCTTGCTTTTATAAAAAGTAATAAACATAAATAAACATAAACATTGACTTCAATAGGTCTGGTATATACAGAATAAAGTAATTTAATGAAAGCAATGAAAATTAAAAATCTTCTTACTCCTCAAAGGTCTTCCAACAGTAAATCTGAAAAAAATTATTTTTGAAATGTCTCTGCTGAAATATTACAGTCATACGTGAGGACTATATTTTCCCTTGTACCACACAAGATTAAGGAAACTTTAATTTAAAAAAGACTTCTGAGCACACTACTGAAAATTACACTAAAACTGCTTCTTCAAGATGGCCCAGCCGGGCATGGTGGCGCACGCCTGTAATCCCAGCACTCGGGAGGCTGAGGCAGGAGGATCACTAGGAGTTTGAGACCAAAAAAAAAAAAAAAAGATGGCCCAGAAGGAAAATGTACTAGCTTGTCAGTGTGGTTTCTTGTTGTTACAGCAGTTACCTCGCTTATTTAAAAATAAGCACTTGGAGTAATTTTTCTTTTCTAGCATCGCTCTGTTAGGCAAATGGTATGGCATTTAGAAGCCTCGAGCTGTGCAGTAAGTCATATATTCTGAATGACAGGAGTAGCTAACTGGTTTCAGTCTCTTGCTTGGTGAGGTTGTTTTTAAAACCCCTTGGGCCTCGCCCTTAGAAATTCTAAGCAGGGCTCAGGTCTGCCTGAGGACTGCCCTGACCAGGACAAGCTGGAGTGGGGACAGGACAGAGCCCATCGGACATGTTCTTCGAGCTCCCCACCATCAGGAAAGCCCTTCCTGCCGCAGTCACCCCGCCTGGGATGCTCCAGTGAGCTCCCGCTCTGAGCTGTGTGCTAACCCTGGCGGCCGCTGGTTTCCGTTCCCAAAGGTTCTGATTTCCTTGGCAGATGTGGTGCCTACATTTCCTTCACCTCCCCAGCTAATTCTCAGCGTGCAGCTGAGGCCGAGATCCATCGTTTAAAGGTGCCTACGCCAGCACACGGTGAGAGTATAAACTCACACGGACATAGCAGTGTTACAACGAACACATGCGTGTTGACTGGACTCAGTGGCACACCCAGAATCTTCGCTGGTTCCTGGACAAGAAAGTGACCTTATGAAAACCGCTTCGGGAAGACAGATTTACCAGGGCCTGGATGGAAGGCAGCTGCTGGAGCCAAGCGGTGGGACAGGGCAAGGTTTCCACCTCAGGAGCGTAAAAATGGTACCGAATCTGCACGTGGGAGGTTTACTAGTGGGGCCGTGGGAATGGGGAGTACGTGACCTTCCAGGACCACGTGCTTCCACAGAAGAACCCCAGGCTGAAGTCAGGCTACAATTACGCTGTCAGTAACAGGACGTGCAAATTTTATTTCCCAGTTTTGGATGAAAGATTAAGGAAGAAAGTTAAACCGGTGCTGTAGCAAAGGACAGTAAGGGCATGCACTGATAAGGCACCCATTAATCCCAGGGCTGTTCTCCTGTCACAGGACAACCAGGAGAGAACACGAACGCTCCTGCTTTAGCAGCGTGTGGCTCCATCCTCAGCTCCTGTCTCTCCTTAGGTACACAACTCTCGCCCGCCGTTTTCCACGTTCTTAACTGCATTAAGCAAACAAGCCACACCTATAACATAATAAGTGATGTCTCCAAAGATAAAGAGCAGCGCGCGGTGCACAGATTAGTTTACCTGTGGAAAAGGCTATGCCCAGGCAGGTGTTGAAGCCTGTGATGGCCAGGATGTCATCGAAGCTGCCCGCGGCCATGAGTAAGGTGGGGACCCCCTTCTCCACCCCATAGCCTCCCTCCTGCAGAAGGAGCATTGAAGGCACCACCACGGCTGGGGACACAGCACCTAGGACGAAACTGACACACAGCACTTCAGACGGGGGACAGAAGCTCCCTCTGTTATCATGCTAAAAACCAAAGGGCCTATAGCTTTTAACCTTGACTCCTTCAGGTTAAGACTTTCGACAACAACAATCTTTCAATGCAAGTCAGAAACACATGGACACGGGTGTTCTCTAGAACCCTGAACTCCAAAAGTCTACCATGGGCAACCTGTTTGTGAATCAGATTGCGTAAAATAGGTATTTTATATTTATGAATGGCATGGGAGAACTAACTGGGCTTTAGGCCCATGAAGGTGTGTTTTAAGCAAAATGTTCATGTCAGGACTTTCTAAAACCTGGCATGGACCTCTGAACCAGAACCCAGTGATGCTGGACCATCAGTTAGGGCTCCATATCTAAGATAAAATGCAGGTCCTAAGCAGAAGGCCACGGTGACCGGGACTGACACTAATCACAGCAGCAGCTGTAACTAAAAGCATCAGAAATGTTCCCTATGTGCAACCCCACTTGGAACCCTTCCAGTGAACTAATTTCACTCTCACCACAACCCTGTGAGGTAGGTGCCATGTGTCTTCCTAGTACAAGTGAGGACATAGGCACAGTGGCACTAACTGCCGTGCCAAAGAGCACACTGGGAGTGGCAGAGCTGGGCGGGGTCCAGGCAGCGGAGCCCAGGGTTGTCACCGTGAGCAGCGGGAAGTGCTTATTCCTACTAAGGACTTATTCATGTCCTTGCTGCTTCCCGTGGCTCCTCAGAACTGGAAGTGACAAGCTGAGCTTGGAGGAAGAGACAGAAGAGCCACTGAGGCACAGGAAGGCTCTCGTCACTGCCGAATGTGTGGGGTCCTTTCTGCAGACTCTGTGTGAGACTCAGCACCTCCCACAGGTGCACCCCAAAGCCCGTGACCTCCTCAAGGGTCTGAATGACCGCAGGCTCCAGGAAAGCACTTGTAGACAGCAGATTCCACTTGGGAGAGGAATACTGAGGCCACGCTGGATTACCCAGGACGCGTTTTCTGGTGTCCTTCAGAAAACACTCATGTACACACTGCGGTATGGAATCAGGGAAGGTCCCAAGCATCACTGCACATTAATACAACAGAGAAAAAAAGCCCTTACCCCAGTATAAATCCCCACTGCCATGGCAAACCCATCAGGAAGTGGGCAAGAGTGGCGGCTGTAAACGCCTCCACGACACAGGGACCCAGGGACAGGCGCACGCAGACTCCTTTCAGCTTCTGCAGGGCCTGGATGTAAACAGACACCAGGCATAACCGACTTCACAGAGCACAGGGCCCTCAGCGCCTCGCAGCCTCCCACCACGCCTGGGTAGAGCGAATTCTCTGGGTGTTCAGTTTTACTCAACAAACATTTTTGCCTTCTAAGTGTTGCCTCCATAATAACTCCACGAAATAGGTAGTATTATTACCCACAGCTTTTAGATGCTCTTCTCCCAAGTTAAGTCATTTGCCCAAAGTCACAAAACTGGTAAGCAGTGGGGCCAGCTCTGCACCCAGCCGTGGCCTCCGGAGTCTGCTCTGAGACCACACAGGGCTGACTGCATCCGCTCAGCATCGGTTCACTAGTTTATCCGGGGTCTCCAGCGGTGGTGCAGTCAGCCCTACGCACGCGCACACGGCTCTGCACAGCTGTCACCTAGAACCGTGGCCCATGTCTCTATCACAGGACACAGCGACCCTTCTTCTGACACCGTGTCCACCTTTCTCTGAGAAGAGCACGGGACATCGTCTGCATCCCTGTGAAGCACAAGGTCCTCCCCGTAGAACAGCCCTGCAGGAGATGCGCCCTATTGTCCTCTCGAGAATGTCACGCAAGCATCCCTGTCCCTTCCTGAAGCTAGGGGACCCTGGATACTTGGGGCACAGGAGGAACACGGTCCCATTTAATAACCAGAGATGCTCAGGTCTTACCTTCGAGTCCAGCCCGAGGCCGGCACGCACCAGAATGACAGACAGCGCGATGCTCCTCAGGGAGGAAGACCACCTGTGCTGGATCTGCACGCTGTCGCAGATGACCGGGACGTTCCTGAGCAGAAACCCAGCCAGCAGCATGCCTGAAATGGCAAAGCCCGGCAGGCCCGGGACGTTTCAACAAGAGACCACAGTTTCCAGGCCCACACCTGAGAGGGTGACTCCTTACAGCATCTTCCCATGTGCTTAGCTTTGGATGAAATTAAGTTAAACTTTTAATTTAAAAATTATATAGCACAATGACTTAGAGGAGCAAAGAAAGAATTTAAAATGCACATAAAAAGAAACACTTAAAATGCATATAAAAAGAAACATTAGAATAATGAATATTCCTCAAAAAACCTGAACATAAGAGGGAGAAGCAAGAGGGACAGAGAGAAGCATCAAACCCTAAACAGGTGTGTTCACCAGTCTGAGCACAGCCACTCCTCTGTGCACACCACCGAACAGCAGCCAGCGCCTGAAATTCCCGCTGGGCAGGGTTCCCTAAAGCCTCAGCGAGCACCTAGAGCAACAAGTCCTTCCGCTTTACCTCCACGCCGCGCTTAACGGGAAACACACGCTTACTTCTTACTTCGCAAAGGCCTAAGAGGGAACTCCGGGGAGATGCTCCCCACGGCGCAGTGCCGTCCGGAGCACTTGCTGGTGCCTTCGGGATTTCAGACCCCACGGAGGGGACTAGGACACCGTGCACAGACACCGGGACAGGCTTCGGCCTCCCTGGCGATGGGACAGTGCTCCAGTTTAGGACAGCGCGAGGGTGCTGTCCGAAGGGAGAAAGGGCACGGCGGTCAAGGGCAGGGGAGCTGTAGTGTCTGGAAGACGCAGTGGACGGCAGAATGACACCTTTGGGCACTGGGGATGTGGCTTGGGAGGGACCCGGCCTCCCGGTGCCACTGCCCACCCCAAGGGGACGGTGTCCCGGCAGAGATGGTGTCCTGCCTGCACTCTCCGCAGCAGGCCCCCCTACTCTGCCCAGCACATGCCTGAACTCACGTCACAGGAACAGGACAAGCACAGCTCTTCCCGCCTCACTGCAGACCCGGCTAAGCGCGGAGCCTGCATCTCCAGGCAGCTCTGGTCACTGCCCTCCATCTATGTGAACGTCTACAAGTCCTCAGTTCTGCAACCTGGTCTTTCTACAGTGTCTACTGGGGAACGGGATGAACAGGACTACAATTCCTGTTTTTAAAGGAAAAAAATGGAAAGAGTGATGTGAGTGACCAAAACACAGGGTGAATATTTAAAATTTCCTTACACTAACAGACACAGCGCCACGGATCCCCCAAAACCCGCCCTCTCGCTGTGACCGTTCTCAGCCCATCACTGTTGCCTCCTCAGAAGCAGTCCTTAACGTTCTCTCTCCTGAGTGTCTTTATGAAGCGGTACCAGAAACACGGAAACATCAGGATGCGTCCTCATCCACCCCACCCGCTAGCTCCTCCCCAGAGTCAAAACAGCGACCACAGGTAAAGGCTCTGAATCGATTCAGGACCCAGAGGAAGCCAGGGCGATGCAACGGAAGAGCCCAGGAGAGAGGACTCCAGAGCCACTGCAGAGTGGCGAGGATGACGGGATGAGCGTCTGAAGTGAGGGGAGAATTCTGAGGGGGATTCACGGCACTGTGCCTTTTACTGTAACAAATGCTTTCATTTAAACATTCGCCATATTTTCTGAATCAGCGATAGGCACCTATCGTTCCATCCCCACTGCAAACGTCCATCTCAGTCACCACTGGATCCTCACAGGTTGCTTTGGCTGCTGCTGGCCAGTTTCCTGTGTCCACAACCAAAAATGCCTGCAGTTCCAGTGAGATGTGACAAAGCCGCACTGAAAATAAATGCGGTCTGCTCCCTGACTCAGCGAAGACGTCACTGGCATTTCTGATGGCCAAGCTGCCGCTGTGAATGTGGGCCCATATTTTTAATAACTTAACAAGTACCATGAAAATGTTAACAATAGCAGTTCACGTCAAAACGTCACTCTTGGTCAACAGTGTGACTTTCAATATAACAAGTCCCGATTTGCAGTGCTCCCTGCTTTCTGTGTTACAGATGCTTCCATCAGGGTTGGTTTTAAGCTACCAACATGCTTCTGAGAGTAGAATTTGGACAAGATGGCCAGTGGCCGCCATTCCACAGTGTTCCCATGATCTCGGGGCACGTGTAAGGGAAACACAGGAGAAAAATTAGGAAGAGACCAATTTCCGGTATTCACTGCTCTTGTCCTTTAATGTAAGTTACTTAATTCCAAGTTTACATAATTTATTTCTTTTTTATAAAACATCAGTTTTAATGACTGGTGCACAAAATCCCTCAAATGGAACATTTGGCTTTTGTCTGCATCACAGCAAATATGGAAATATTTCACCTGCTTATTTCCTAAAGCTTTCCAAACTACTATTTTTAAAATATTATTTGCTTCCAAGGAAAGAAGACGTGTTTTTGCACTTACCAAGAAGAGGAGGCAGGGGAGGAAGTGTTGGTAACTTAACAAGCCGCAAAAGTCTTCCTCCAATGACAGCGCAGTAGAGCAGGACGATGATTCCAAACAGGTTTCCTCCTGGGAGACATTCACTTCCGGCGACAGACCAAACTACAGCCCACAGAAGGGCCGCCATGGTGACTGGAAAAAAACCAAGAAAAGGAATTCCAGTCAAGAAGTTGTCAAATACAGGTTTCCCTATCATCTAACGTAATTCTTAAACATTGAGCCCACTGCCTACAAGCAACAGAATCATTATTACTGCAAACATGTACCCATAAAAAATTTTAATAAAAATAAAATAAAGATTGCATAGGTAAACCTGTGTAACCATGTATAAAGCAGAAATATTAAGAATGTGAACAAATGGTAATTACCAGCCATTTTAAGAAATAAGATATCACCAGTCCTTCGAATCTGCCTGTGCCTTTTACTGTAATAAGTGTTTTCATTTAAATATTCACCGTATTTTCTGAAAAAGTTATAAGCACCTTTTCATATCCCCACTGCAAACGTCCATCTCACCCCACACCCACCTCCCTTCCCCTTGCCAGAAGGAACCACTACTTTGATTTTTAAAAAACCATTCTCTTATTTTTCTCTATAGTTTTATCACAAACATAGCAGCAGTTCATGTGAGAAAGTGAAACAAGTATTATTTTTACCCTCTACACAGAAATACAACAATGCTGGACCTCCAATCATGCTTCCGCATTTTAGTTCTAAGACAGATACCACTGTGCTGGGCAAAGGGCAGATGAATATCCTGGGCCTTGACCTGTTACTCATTAAAGCCTGAAGTGTGTTTTCTTCATTCTGTCTCCTTTATCACCTTTGGCCTTTGGGCCGGGTTCCTTTCCTGTTCAGGTCTTCATGCAGGTGGTAGGCCCGAGGGAGGTCCGTCTAAAGCTGGTAATACAAGGCTGACTAGCCCCAAATTTACATAACCTATCACACCCCCTTCAAGACCAAAGGCATCAAGATAAGAGATTTACAGGGACACTGAGCTACCAGGGGCATCTAGAAGCCTGTAGTCACTGCCTTAAGCTATGGTCATCTTGGATTCCAGCGAAAACTGAAGCTGCCCCAAGCAAAAAACAATCATTTCACAGAGCATGGGCCCCCTCCTCCTGAGCAGAAAGGACTCTCAGGGTTGTCCTGCAAAACCACAACGAACCCCGTGCTCAAACGGACCCTAACCACCACAGCCCGAGGGACTGGCCTTGCTCCTTCGCTCTTCGGCCATCTGCTCTGCAGCAGAGCTGTGCAGGTTCTCCGGACCTCAGGTTCAGTTCTGTCCCATGGTCTCTTGCTTCCAACTCTGCCCAATAAATCTGTCGGTGTCTCGCTCTGATGGGTTCTGCAATGCTTTCGTGCAATGAGACATCAGGAACCTGCCCAGGCCAAGTTGAGGTTCCCATCTCTTTTTTTAAATGGTGCATATTAGTGGTAGAGAATAACATTAATTTTGATATATTGGTACATGTCTATGACATTTTGATGATGATGACGAGGATGATGATTTTTCGGGTACCAGGATCGAACTCAGCACCTTGCACTTGTGAGGCAGGCAGCAGGACCACAAAGCTAAATCCCCAGCCCCTATTTTGATTATTTTTATCCTTAGTTTTTCTTTCTTTTCTCCTCTCTGCCTCTGGTTCCCTTTCCATCTCCAAAAGTCTACTTTCTAGTTTCCTTGTTATTTATTTACTTACTTAGATTGCTCATATAAGAAAAAAACATGAGATGTTTAAGACTGGCTTCTTTCACTAAACATGGTGGTCTCCAGGTCCATGCATCTTCCTGTAAATGGGATGATTTCACTATTCTTTATGGCTGCACAATACTCCAATGTGTATATACACCACGACTTCTTTGGCCACTCATCTGCTGATGGATGTCTAGGCTAGTTCCACAGCAAAGCTATTATGAATTATGCTGCTCTGAACGTGGGTATGCATGTATCACTGCACTGTGCTATCTTTAATTTTTTAGGAATATACCAAGGAGTAGTACAGCTAATTCAAACAGCATTTCTACTTTTAATTTTTTGAGGAATCTCCCTACTGATTTCCATAGTGAGTTTACACTCCCACTAGCAGTCCAGGAGGGCTCCTTTTTCCCTATGTCCTCACCAGCACTCACTGTTTTCTTGATGATAGCCATTCTGACTGGGGTGAGATGGAATCTCTATGTGCTTTTGATTTGCCTTTCTCTAATGGCTAAAGATATAGGACATTTTTTCATGTACTTATGGCCATTTATATTTCTTTTGAGAAGTGACTATTCAACTCATTTACCCGTCTGTCGACTGGGGTATTTATGGGGGTGAATTCTTTGTGTTCTTTATGTGGTCTAGACGTTAATCCTCTGCCTAAAGAGCAGCTGGTTAATATTTAATTTCATCTGTAGGCTGTCTCTGTGGATTGTTTTTCAGAATAAATCTCTTTTAAATTTAGGGGTACCTCTTTGGACCCCTTAAGGTGACTGCCTTGAGTAAACATTATCATTAATTCTCTTTTTACAGAAAATGTTGTTTTCTTAGAATTTCCACCTACTTCCTTTATTTTTAAACTTTTAATTATTTGTAAATTGATAAATAATATATCTATACAATAACCTAAGAATTTAGACAATTATGACGAGGCCCAATTTACAAAGCCGAATGTTGAATAACATTTATCACATGTGTTGTCATTTCTAATCTCAATTATTGTTACCAATTCTGGTTATTTTCACTATTTTACTGAAGATTATTAATTATTATAATAAGTGGTATATTTTTACCTACATAACATGGCACTGAATATAAGTGAGAACTTCTGAAAGAGGAGAGATACTAAGGTTTGGAGTTGTAGAATATCTACATTTTATTTTATTATTATTATTATTATTTTTTTTGGTACTGGGGATCGAACTCAGGACTTTGTTCTTCCAAGGCAGGCGCGGTGCCACTGAGCTAAGTCCCGGGCCCTGAGTATCTACATCTTAAATACCAGCTCTTCCTACATACTTTTCCTCCTACACAAATGTACTAAATAAGTTACCTTTAATTGTCCTACTTATATCTCTTGTTTGGATGCGTGTTCATAAAATCTGTGTTGTCTAAATTTTTAGGCTTATATAGTTAGAAATTTAAAATGCATACTGTTATGGGTGTGCTGGCTGGTTGGCAAGAGTGAGCACGATCGTCTGAATTGGTGTCTCACAGTGGGCAGGGCTTCTTTTCTTTAGCTTCTCTGCACACGTGAAACCTGACATAAGATGTCCTGTTTGGCCATGAACAACTCAACTATTTTTAGGTCAACCCTGGCAAAGGTTCAGTGCCACGAAGGGGAAGACTGGATTCCATACTTTCTTCTCTGTCGTTTCTTCCTTCTCGAGCTCTGTAACATCTTCGTGGCTGCTATTAATAACACCACTGGAAGCTGACAACTGAGAAGGGTCCTCTTTCTTGTGACTGGGAAGCTTGTGTGACTTCATCGTTATTTTCACCAACACGTGACTCTCTGGAATCATTTACTGCAGGATCCGGTGCATCCAAGCCCTCGTCCGCCTGCTTTGAGGTTTCTAATTTGGCTTTCTCAGGATTTCCCCTTCCACTTTCCTGTTATCTCCAGGAAGCCATCGTCACCAAGGGCTCATTTCATCGCATGAAGTACACTTCCAACTGTCAGGACATTTCCAGATCTTCTAATGGATCTGTATCACTCTCCCCAGCCCGACACAAACTGACTTACCAGACCTTCTCATCTGCATCTCAGCATTCTTGTCCATCCTAAGACGGTCATGTTCTGAATCGAGAGGTTCAGCTTCAGATTCTACACTGAATCCTGACCCATTCCCCTGATGTTCACTTACACCGTCATCCTGATCAGGATCTGATGGAATCTCTGTCGGTTCACGGCTACTACTTCTTTTACAACATATCTCCCTTATTCCACAGAGCCGGGCTTTCGTCAAAAGAAGGGGAAATACTGTCTGGTTTGTGGTGATTTGTCATTCACCAGATAATTCATCCAAACTTTCTTCCCTCTTGCTAATTGTTCTCCTGCTAGAAAGGTAGATGAGATAGAAACCAAATCTGCAGATGAAGGCTTCTCTTCTTGTAGGTCTCGTCCAGAGTCCTTTTGTTCACTCCCACCTTTAAGGCGACACTGTTCTCACTCCCAGATGTGCCCCAGTCTGACGCTTCTGGCTGCTTGACTACTACCAAGATTCTGTAGATCACTATATATTTTCCTGTGCTCTTTCACAGAGAAACCTGGTACTCTAAACGGTCTCCTAGGAGATCATTTAAACAATAAACAATATGTTGTTGTTTCTCATCATATAATTGTTTAGTCATAATATACTGGCCAAGATAAAATATGACCTCTATCCAGAATTTCAGTACAGTAAATTGTACTCATGCTCTCTAGTGTAGAAATTCTTTTTTTTTTTTTTTTTTTTTTTTTGAGACAGGGTCTCACTATGTAGTTGAGACTGACCTGGAACTTATTCTGTAGCACAGGCTGGTCTCGAACTCACAGTGATCCTCCTGCCTCAGCCTCCCGAGTGCTGGGATTATAGGCGTGCACCACTCTAGTGCGTGCTCGACTCTAGTGTAGAAATTCTTAACCTGGGGTCCAGGGAGACCCAAGAAGTCCTCTTTCATAGTGTAAGTGTCTTTTTTTTTCCTTGTCAGACTTACCAGTGAATTTGCAATTTATTCTGCAAATAGAGGGAAGTTTCAAACACAGTCAGTTTTGCATTTTAGGAAAATGTTAGAACATGAGAGGATAGACTAGAATATAATTAAGATTGAAGGCAAAAAGTCATAGTGTAAGTGTCTTTTTGTGCACCAAACAGACTAACAACTTCAAAAGTAATGGCTATGGTGTAGCCAGGGTCTACTGTTCCAGAGCAGGAATCTGTGGGGGGCTTACAGCACCATCAGCAGACACAGATGTGCTGGTATCGCACTAGCGCGGATCACATGGAAAACTTGCTGTATGCCTGTGAACACAGCTGCTTCTCACCTCGAAGGTTTTTTTGTGCCTGGAGTGGGGCCAGAATCCCCCCAGGATGCCCCAGTTTTCATCACCCTGGGCCTTGGTGACTGTTCCCCTTGTGGGCCTGGGCCATTGGGGTGCTCAGAC